CTTACGTACCAGATTTCAAGTTATAATTTTGGTACCTCCTGGTACATTTTTAAGGATAGTAAAATTCTATCTGTTAACAGTAAAATTATAACACAGTAGGGAAGCCAGTGTACAAACATTGAAAAGCAATCCATTTGTATCCTGGAAAAAGAGAACCCACTTCCGCCCTTCACTCTTCCTAACAAAAGAATAGACAGTATAGTTTCATTAAATTACTTCATGATATATGGCTGCTAATTTTCTTCAAATGGAAGAAACTGCCCCCAGTGGTGAATTTTTGAATCAATGAACATACCATTGCTCAAGCAAGCCACTTGAATAAAGAAGAGAATGAACATCTCCATGCCCATGTGGCTTTGTCTGCCAAATCACAAAACTGGTAGTAAGAAAGGTGGACAGAAACACAGTGTATGTGGAAACAATATGGTGCTATATTCAAATACAATTTTACTGATCCTCGAATGGAAATTTCCAACCTGAATTTTGTACTTGTCACTTGGGTCTAATGCAAGCCATGCATCATTGTCAGCTAGACATGCTACTTTTTCCTGAAAATGGAAGAGAATGTACAGTCATCACAAAAGGTAACTGCTATGTGCTTTGCATATATAAAAACATTTTTCCCTCCTAACTAGCATGTGAAAAGAACAAAGAAACAGAAGGAACCTGCTTTAGTAATTTCACTTGAGATGGTTCCATTCCAAAGTAAGAGTTTGTCTCCAAAAGCTTGATAGTTAGTGCATTTGTATCATCAGAAGTCATAATAACAAATGGGATCTTTGTTTGGCACCCATCTGCATGGTGGATGAATATCATCAATCAGAATAAAGCAACACCTGAACATTCTCTAAGGTCCAGCATGTATTATGTGTAAGGAATGAAACTAGCAACTAAATCAAGCAATTGCTAGATACCGAAGGGACATAAAAGAAAATGATATCACCTATTGTAAAGATCGAAAATCATTTGTAAGAATTAAAACAATGATAGGCTCCACAAAGAAAGAACTCAGATAAACGTAGAGTATATACCATCAACCATTTTGCAGCTGGCTTCTTGTAAAGCCAGGATAGACTCTATATAATGTTGAAGGAAACATTTTCCAGCAGTTGTTTCCCGGGGAAGTGCTACCTGACCAAAAAGTAACAAAATCACCAGTGAGAAATTACAGAAACATGGTTGGATTATCTCTAAACTTTCAAGGACACAAGCTAATAATGCTCATATACTCTTAATCCTGTTTTAGAGTCATACAGTTAGTGCTTTAAACTAGGAAATAATTTACTTTACCACCTGTAGTCATTAAGCTTTCTTACAACCAAGTCCTAAATGATGTTTCTATTTTCTGTGCAGGATGATGTGCAATATCAGCATTCAGTAAGAGAAAAAGAGAACAAAATAAGATTAGCAAAATCAGAGTTACAAGACACCATACCAGTACAGCATCTAGTTTGAGTTCCAATTAAAGTGTGCCTAGCTACTGACTACCTCATGACACAAGCTTAGATACTAGTTTGCTATTAGCAGCTCAGCACATACCTTAATTCCTTTGTAACCAAGCCTTTCACCAAGCCCTCCGGCTACAAGAACAAATGCAGCATTGCGGGCTTCTTTTATCCCAGCTGCTTCCAGTGAAACAAAATTGTCATCTCCAAAGTTCAAAACCTCCCCTGAAGGCACCTGTAAGTAAGGTATGGCAAAGTTTATTAGCTGTGTCATCAAGAAAAGTGGAAAGGTAAAGAAAGTAGAGAATTACCCAAACTAACATAAAGAACATCCATTTTTAAGCATCAATTTATCTCAAGAATTTTTTTTCAGGTTGTGGTGTACTCCCTCCGTTCCAAATTATAAGCTGCTTTGACTTTTTTGGTTCATCTATTTTCCTATATATCTAGACATATTATTATAACTAGATGTATAGCAAAATAGATGTACCAAAAAAGTCAAAATGACTTATAATTTGGAACATAGGGAGTATTAAACTATTCATAGAACAATTCCCATGAAAAGGATAGATACTTAGGCCAAACTAAACCATTGGTAAAAAAGACTTACAGAAGGGGTGAAACCATCATATGGGTTTTTGCCTGCCTTTGAATCTGCAAGAAGTTTTTTGGCATTCTGGATGTAAGATACCAGACCTCCAGGATAGCTTGAATTAAGTCGGCGAACCTAAGACAATGAAAAATTGACAAAATTATTAGAATAAAAGGAAAAAAAAACTTTATACATTTGTGCTTATGACTTCCTTGCATAGATTATAATGCAACTCCAGTCACAAACAAGATATGTCTTGGACATTGGCAGTCTTCAAAACATAGTTTTACTAATACTTTTTGTTACAAAATATTTGTAAAAAAATATAAAATATATACTTTTATGAAACTACATCGCACTATATGTTCTGAGTTTGAGTACACACCTGATCAAAGAAGCGTCTTTTCTTGTCATCATCGGCACCTGGTTCAGGCCAGTGTTCAAACAGGTGAATCTGGCCCTCATTCAACAGCATTTTTGCTAGCTCAACCTAGAATCACCAGGCAACAAGAGCATTGTAGCAGGAGAAAACAAAAACAGGTGTTTAATTCCATCGATTGAATAAACTTAACATGGTATGTCGCACCACAGACTAGTACATTTAGATACACTGTGTTCTGAAATAATGGTGAGCAATCATTCAGCCAAACCCAGGGCCAATAGGAACTTTTGTGATTCGTGAGGAGGGGCCAAGTTAGATGTACATCAGTTGAGGACCACCGTGCTGAACATGTGAAAAGTGCAGTAGAACTTAAATTGTTCGCCCAAAGGACCACATTGTTTATTATACTAACAAGAACACTGTTCACAACTGGGAATAGAGGAATGTACAGATGTACCAAAGTATTCATACTCGTAGTAACATTTTTACACAGGAAATTAATGCTCGAGCACAAGTATATGATCTACAGTATCCAAATTGAGTATGAGCACCATGCTTCCTAGTCCCACTGTGGGCCTGTGGCAGGAGCAGAGGGTGGTTAAACTTGAACACATTGGTACGACACCGGTACTGTTTTAGGAACCAGCAGTCACCATCATGAAAAACTGAAAATCACAGAATTAAACTCCATTTCTTCTAGAATTGTGTGTCAAGAGGGAGGAAGTCCTAAATTGTAGCGGTGGATGCGGGTCCACTTCGCCCCCACCGGCCGGGCACCGTCAACACGTGAGGGGACTTCAAAGAATGGCAGCGAGTGGGGTAGTTATCCGTACCGTCCAGCGTCCCGCATTCAATCATCAGGCGCTACACCTAAACTTCTCCAATCTAATCAGGCCTTGTTTAGTTCTACGTGTAAAGTTTTAGGGTGTCATACGAGGATGTTGCATGGGACGTTCGGATGCTAATATAAAAACAAATTTTAAATCCGTCGGTAAACCATGAGGTGAATGTATTAAGTCTAATTAATCCGTCATTAACACATATGTTACTATAGCACTTTATTATCAAATCATAGACTAATTAGGCTTAAAAATTCGTCTCGCAAAGTAATCACAATCTATATAATTAGTTATTTTTTTAGTGTATATTTAATACTCCGTGTCTCAAACGTTCGATGGCATAGGGCGTAAACATCTTACGAGGAATTAAACAAGCCCTCAGTAATATTCACCTACGCGGCATGCGAACATAACTACCAAGTACCAAGTCAAATCAAATCATACGGCAGAGCGTCCACACACACCAGGGGCGGAGCATCGCATCACGGCCGACGAAGCGAGAGAATTTGGAATTCGCAGCGAGTGGAATGAGGCGTGAGATCGGCGCGGTTCGAGCGCCGAGTCTACTAGCACGGGCAAATCCACCGGCAACAACAGAACGGCCAGTACGACGGCGCGACCTCTTCTTCAGTACATACGGAGTAAGTATATAACAGACTAGTAGCAGGCTGCGCTCACCTCGTCGGGCGCGAGCAGCTGCAGGTTCCCGCCGCAGCGGCGGGCACGCCGCCGCCCACTCTCCGTCGCCGGTGCCGGCGCCGGAGATCCCCAACGCGCCGCGACCCCGCCGCCGCGGCGTCGGCGCCCGAAGCCATCGCGGGCGAGGAGGCCGAACTGGAGGGCGGAGGAGGCGACCCGCGTCGTGTCGGTGACTGTCAGTTGCGTGACTGCGTCGTCGTCCTTCCCCGGAGGCGGAGGTGGGCACGCTTCACGGGGCGTGCAGTGGCAAACCGTTTCCTCGCTGGCTCCCTCTCCTCTGCGGTGGTGTGATTCGTCGGCTTGGAAGGATCGCGGCTGCCGTGCCTACAAGAGACGGGTAGGATTAGTCATAGCTGTGGGCCCGTGGGTCCGTGGGCGCCTGGGCGGTGGGGTCCCAAAACTGTTTTTTTTTTTGAAAACCAAAAACTGTTTAATGATGGTAGCCGCTAGCACTTATCGCTGACTTCGGGCTCGGGGACAAGGCCGATCGCGACGAGCCCACAGCCGTAGAGGCCCGGCCCGTCTCTTGCGTCACGGGCCGTGTCGTAATTAAGCCCAGAATAGAAAATAAAATTTCCGCCATATCCTAGCCCTGGCCTGCTCGGCTGCTAGCGGCGGCCGCCCTCACCGAACGCGGAACGCTCGCTGCCAATATCCTCGGCGATTCCTCGGCGAGTCGGCGTCGGGCGTTGGCGACGGCGACGGCGAGCTCTCCACGCGTGGACCACGGCTCTAAAGCCCCAGCCGGCCGGCGGCCGCCCCTTGCCCTCTTCTGCAGGCTGCAGCTTTGCCCAGCGGCCGCCCTGCCGGCGCCCCGCGCAACCACGCCCGGCAGCCGGCCGGCCCTTCTGCAGCAGCCAACAGGCAACCCGCCCCGGCTGAGGCAGTGAGGCTCCACGCCCCCCGCTTCAGAAATCACGGTGAGAAAACAGACCGAACACTAAGAGCAGAACAGTACCGCATTTTTATTTCGATTTCATTGTCTAGTCCACTAGTTCTAACAGCAACATTTTAATTAGCAACATTTCATATTGAAGGCAAGAATGGAAAGGTATTTTAGTAAGAAAGATGTGTCCAAGATTAGTCCAAAGGTAATTTTGTCCCTTCATTTTTAACTTTGTGATTTTCGCCCGATGAAGCTCCGTTTTGCCCTTACTATTAAGGGTTAATTGAATCGGTGCCATTACAATTCTCGCGTTTCTTAGAAATACCATTACTATTAGTCTTATTGTAAGCGTGCCATTACAATTACATGGGAGCTGAAAAATGTCATTATGTACACTTGCCGCGACTGTGGCCCACATGCGTGTGTGTACAGGGTAAGTACGTACATTCAGTATGGACCTTTTGCCCCCTGACTCCTCCATACATGCGGCCGTTTGACTGGATCAAGTCAATCCATCCATTCCCCACCGCCTCCTCTCTCTCTCGCTCGAACCCTAGCTCGTCGGCCTCGGAGGCGACTGCGACCGACGGTGGCAACTACTACTAAGCGCCGGCGTCGACCGATCGCGACTATTGCTCCTTCCCGCCTCATCTGGCTGGCGGAGATGGCATCCACAATTGCCAGTTCAAGTGCTAGCTTGAGTTGGTGGTCTCCCACAGATCGATTGCCCCAAATGCAAGATCCAAGTCATTAGGTGCAAGAGCAAGGCTGGCAATATGTATTAGACTTGCCCCAACAATTTTCTGGTAATTTGTCTTGCTTTTCCTTTGATGTTGGGTTCCATGTTCGTCCAGCTACAAATAGTGTTAAGTGGGTTGGGGTTTTGATTGTCAATTGCAGAACGATGATACTTGTGCAAACTATTGGTTTGAGGATCAATACCTGGCCTATCTGCGCGCCAATCATCTAGACAAGCTCAGGGATATGGAAGTGGAAGGTGTACATGGCCCTTTTGTTGCTCCAGCGGTTCAAGGCATAGAACAGAAGAGTGACACAAAGATTGGGATGATGGACTTGAAGGTTCAGATCATTGAGTTGAAGGTTGACATTTTAAAGTTGGAGCAGGAGATAAAAGAATTGAAGAATGGAGGATTGAACAAGGCTTTTAGCTTAGGCAATGCATTAGTTGATGTGGTGATGCTAAATCTGTTTGTAAGCCTCTTAGTTGCAGCAGTTTGGAAATGAAGTAGTATGCACCTTGGTTCCAATAATTTGGAGTTTAGTGATCTTAGCCTGTAGGTTGTCAAGTGCTACTACTAATTTATGTTTATTTCTGTCTGTGCGACTGTGTATCTGTGATCAAGGAATGTATGTTTATGTAGGTTTTGTGAATCTGTGAATCTGTGATGAATCTGTCAATGTGTGCAACACAGCTTCTCTGAATCTATATTCCTTAAAAAATGACCTCACCTAGTGAACCATCAATTTGCCCACTTTGTTTTTCGGGTGCCACTCATTCTCATCTATTTAATTTGGACCATACATGTGAGTTGTAGCATTTGGTGGCAAAGATGTATGTTTTGCAAAGGCCCAGGTCATCATCTAGGTACGACAAGACTGACGGGTGGTGCCTCGACACCGGCGCCACCCATCACATGACAGGTCGACGGGAGTTCTTCACCGAGCTTGACTCTAGCGTCCGAGGCTCCGTCAAGTTTGGGGATGCCTTCGGCGTGGAGATCAAGGGCGTCGGCTCCGTCATCTTCACCGCCGTGTCTGGTGAGCACAGGCTGCTCACAGGAGTCTACTACATCCCCGTGTTGAGAAACTCCATCATCAGCTTGGGACAGCTGAATGAGAACGGTTCGCGCGTGGTGGTTGAGGACGGAGTCATGAGGATTTGGGATCGTCGTCGTCGCCTTCTTGCCAAGGTATCCAGAAGCGCAAATCGACTCTACGTCCTTAACGTGCAGGTGGCACAACCCCTCTGTCTCTTTGCTCGTCGGAACGACGAGGCGTTGCAGTGGCACGAGCGTTTTGGGCACCTTCACTTTGAGGCCCTGAAGCGGCTCAGTGCCACGGAGATGGTGCGAGGCCTGCCGTGCCTCGACCATGTGGAGCAGCTCTGCGACGTCTGCGTGTTGACGAAGCAGATGCGACACCCCTTTCCCCGGCGGGCGAGCTTTCGAGCCAAGAAGAGGCTCGAGCTTGTGCATGGGGACTTGTATCGGCTAACCGGGTGCCGACATGCCTAGGCAGCAGAGCCTGAGCACATTGGTTTCCTGAGGAGGTAAGGCCCTCCCAGCTTTCTGGTGCGCCTCTACCCTGAGCATACTCCAGGAGCCGGAGCTTCAATTCCCAGCCGACCACGCGTACACGACGTCCTTCATTCTCCGGGTCACGGATGCAAGCAGGCGTGCCTGTAGGTTGCCTGCGGGCCGCCGCTCCATCCGCTGTTATTATTAGCTGACGACGCAGGGCCAGCTAGCACCTGCATTTCTACCTGCAATAGCCTACTGGGCTGTGCAGGAACCAAACAAGCAGGATGCGGACACCTGCAGCAGCCTGCATCCTTCATATAACTAGTTAGCTATCAGTTCTCTGCACAAGAAATTGAGAAACTTCAGGCACAAACTGACAACCATGAGCGGATCAAACAACGCTAGGAGATCAGATACCATGGCCGCAGGCACTGTGGTCGCGTTTATCTCGTCGTCCTCGAGGCCGGGGAGGGTACCGACGAGAGGGCACCGAGTGCCGCTGGCGGCGGCAGCGGGGCGCCAGGTGACAGCGGACGAGAGGCGCCTGCCCGCGCCCGAGCATAGTCGATGGGAAGGGGACGTGAGCCATCTGCGGTGACGTCCATCGCGTGAGGCCCGTTAGTGGACGTGTGACGACCTATCGTCTAGTGGGAAGCCGACAGGTATTCTTTCGGCTGTTGGGAGGCCGACAGGGTGCGAGACGTCAAATTTTGGGCCTGTCTACCCAGCGCTCAAGTGTCTGTAGGGCCTAAAACACTCGATCGAGAAGGCAAATAAAATCATGTGTTTTTTGATACATGTAACATATGATTGTTATGACCATTGGATTCAAATCAAATGAACCAAAACATATTCAAATAATAAAACAAAATTAAATAAAAAACAAAAAAATAGTCAGATTATTTCTATACAAGCCAAATTGAAAATTTTCAAAGTGGAACCAAATAAAACGTACAGAAACTCAAACATCAGCACCAACCTTTTCTCATTGCTTCGTGAGGGTAGACAATTGCCTGACTCGTACGTAACCGGTACTGTTGTTTTCTAGTACTCGTACGTAACTGGCCCACAAAGTCTGTATTTCACTATACCATGTTACCATTTTCTTTCACCGAATTACACAGTAGAATTTGCCGAAGCAAACAGTCCTCGGAGTTTTACATGCCACGTCAAAATCAAAGTGGCACGCATGTATATATATCGTATACTAATTAATACGGAGTATATACTGTACCACGAAAATTTCTGTAACCCACCAGCACCCACCTTCTATGCGTTATTGCCCTGTTCGCTTGGATGATAAGCCATGACTGAAGGTAGTTAGTTAGCTGACATAAACACATTATTGGATACCTACTTGCATCCTCGTGACCTTGTCTGTTGCGTGGCCATAAATATACTTGGAGCTTTAGTGCCAAATAAGCCATCGTTTTCATTTTTCTTGCACTGTGTATTGTGATTGTGATCGCCTAGAAGCTGAGGCACTTGTCTATCTACGACTACCGAGACGTCATCAGAGTTTTTTTTTTGTTTCTGTCGTACGTAGCTAGTGGAGTGCTCAAGTGAAGTCCACCAGCCGTTGGTTGAGCTGAAGGCGGGCCTGAAGCTGAGCCAGGCCAACAGGAAAAGAAAACTGACGAAAGCGAGCGAAGAAAAGGCACAAGCTACGCTTCGCTTTGCTTGACTGCTCCACCAAGTTTGAACTGACTAGCTGCTATGCTAGCCTTGACATTGTTATTAACTTCAAGTAGTATTAACTAGGTCATTGGATATCGATTTGGACCCCCACTAGGATGGAAGTACACATGACACAGGAAAAGGTTAACAAGAGTAGCCATCCATCAGCATGGCAATTGCCAATTGGCACTGTCTGTCTGTTGATTCTACTAGCTACTAGCCATTTTCTATCCGTCTACCAGTGGTGTCTACGATGATGGATGCGATCGAGAAGCAATTCCTCCATTTTCTCAGCTACTAACCTGCAACGGCGTGACCACCGCTCCGTTGCTCCGCGTGACCTGAACTGTGGAGAATGGAGGGAGAGGCACCATCAAGATCAAGCCAAGGGAATACCGTAAGAAGCAAGAATTTTAAATAATATTTTTAATGATTAATTGCAAATCTAGCATTTGGATCGGCAACTGGTGGGCCGACAGGTCCCTCTCGGCGCCCCAGCAGCCGACTATGCACCTGACCAAGCCAGACTGGACAGCCCAGTGGACCCATATCGGCTCGACAAGCATGTCGGCACCCGGTTAGCCGATGGGTCACTGTCGGCCTTCAGAAAGCCGACAGGCCCTAAAATATCTAACCGGGCATCTTCTCCCTCGCGCTCGCTCTTTCTCTCTCGCTCCGCACCGGCACGCCGTCGGCCGGCGCTTCTCCTGGCTCACCGCCGGCCCCTGGCCCGCGCAGGCCGCCGGCCCCGGGAGTTTTCAGGTACATTTTTTTAGTTAGTTTAGTTTATTAGTTTAGTTATTATTTGGTAGTTTAGTTTTTTAGTTTAGTTAGATTTTGTTGGTTTAGTTAGATTTCGTTCGTTTAGTTTATTAAATAGATTTAGTTTTAGGAGTACTTTTAGTTTTAAGGTTAGCTTAACTTTTAGGGTTAGTTATTAGTTTTTTTCTGTTTAGGGTTAGTTAGTTTAGTTAATAATTTTTCTTCCACGGATCGGGAGGACGTTCTCGTCCATCCCAGCACGAGCCGCGAGCCCGCGACAGAGATTTCAAGTCCTAGGTAATTCAATGATTACTTTCCTAATTTCTCATGTACTATGTACGTAATATGCTCTATCTAGCCTTTTTTTTATAGGTACACGTGCTTCTTGCAGTGACTACACGGAGGATACTATCAGCTTTGGGACCTTTCACACAGACGACACTTCACATTGGTTCCCCGAGGAGGTAGGGCCCTCCCAGCTTTCTGGTGCACCTCTACCGACTCAGGGTACTGAGCATATGGAGTCTACTCCACCTGCACGACAGCGATGCCCTCCAGACCAGTGGACTTACCCTATGGTCCAGGTTCGTCACCGAGGTGCGTAGGCACCTAAGCGTGGTCATCGTGTAGGTTAAGCATGTAGGACTATATGGTTGTATGCTAGCATGGATGTATGCATGCGAACTAATATACTCTTGGATCTGTGATGCGAACTAATGAACTAATGTGCGTACTTTTGCAATGGAGGCAACGCTCCAATACAATCCCTCGCCTGCATCGTGGCAAGGGACAATTAAAACGTAAAAGGATATTGTTTACCCTTTGCATCGAGTATTCTAGCCGGAGATGGTTGTGTTCGTCAAAAAGTATCACATCGGGTGATGTTTGTCTAGAAAAGAAGAAATACAACATGAAATAGAGTTGTCGGTCGTGTGAGGCCCGACAGTGGTATTGGCAACTGGGAAGCCGACTTCCTGACCTGTCGGCCATCCAGCCGCCTACAGGATCTGTCGGTGCCGACAAGCTATTTTGGCTAGTGTCGGTTGCCATGTGTGCGCCACGTAGACCTATTGGCTAGTGAGCAGCGGACACACCATGAAAAGTAAGTTAAGATGCTTATTAATGGATGATGTGAAGATGCAAATGCTGATAGGATTGTTTCTCTTTTCTTTTTTTACAAGTTTTTAGGATGAAACATCCTGGTTGGATTAGTGCTAAGTTTTCTTTCTGAGCTTTTTACCTGTATGGCCCTGAAAAAAATGTCTCTTCCTTGTATGGCCTCTTTTTTTGAACTTACCTGTATGGCCTCGAAACGGAATTCCCTTCCTTCTATGGCCTTCTGTCCGTTTTTGGAACTTGATGGTGTTAAGTCAAGGGTAAAATGGTTATTTTACCCCTGGTGAAAAAAATAAAATGCAGAGTTTTGATTGTCTGTTGTACATTTAGAGTAATATTATGTAAATAAGCTCATACATAACAGTACATAATAAGACACATAATCAAGTACGCAAATACATTGTAATAAAATGAGCTTATCAAATGCATAAAAAATTACACAAATGCATTGCAATTAACCATAGTCTCACGCATAAATTGTTCATAAATCCACCGTGGTTGCAGTCTCACGTAAATAAGGTCCTACAAAAGTGTGATTTCAAATATACATCGGTCTACAATGCAACCAGCGCTGCTGCACGCGAGGTCGTGAGCATCAGCCAGAGGCAGGCAGTCCGACTCCGACAGGTACGTACATCGACGACGGGACGAGCCACGTCTTGATGACATGATTCTTCTCGCCCTTGCCGAACGCCCACGCTCCAGTGAGCATCCCTTCCTCGTCAGGTCATACTCCAGGAGCCGGAGCTTCAATTCCCAGCCGACCACACGTACACGACGTCCTTCATTCTCCGGGTCACGGACGCAAGCAGGCGTGCCTGCAGGTTGCCTGCGGGCCGCCGCTCCATCCGCTGTTATTATTAGCTGACGACGCAGGGCCAGCTAGCACCTGCAATAGGCTACTGGGCTGTGCAGGAACCAAACAAGCAGGATGCGGACACCTGCGGCAGCCTGCATCCTTCATATAACTAGTTATGATTGAATCCTATACTACAATAATCCATACGGAGTAGCTATCAGTTCTTTGCACAAAAAAATTCAGAAACTTCAGGCACAGACTGACAACCATGAGCAGATCAAACAACGCTAGGAGATCAGATACCATGGCCGCAGACACTGTGGTCGCGTTTATCTCGTCGTCCTCGAGGCCGGGGAGGGTACCGACGAGAGGGCACCTAGTGCCGCTGGCGGCGGCGACGGGGCGCCAGGTGACAGCGGACGAGAGGCGCCTGCCCGCGCCCGAGCATAGTCGATGGGAAGGGGACGTGAGCCATCTGTGGCGACGTCTATCGCGTGAGGCCCGACAGTGGTATCGAAAACTGGGCAGCCGACTTCCTGATCTGTCGGCCCTCCACGTACGCCCCGGTTACAGAGACCTGTCTATCGGCCGTTGGGAGGCCGACAGGATGCCAAACGTCAAATTTTAGTATATCAGCTTCTAGATTTGCAATTAATCGTTAAAAAAATATTATTTTTTAAAAAAAATCTAAGAAGCAAGACGAGCCCGCCCCCAATAAATATTATTCAATATTTTTTTTTGTACTGGCCACTGAAAAGAACATTCCCAGTACTCAGCTCGTAGAGCGTGCAGATTTATCCCCCACAAAGTCTATATTTCACTATACCAGGTTACCATTTTCTTTCACCACCGTACACATTACACAGTAGAATTTGCCAGTCCTCGGAGTTTTACATGCCACGTCAAAATCGAAGTGGCACGCATGTATATATACCGTATACTAATTAATACGGGTATATACTGTACCACGAAAATTTCTGTAACCCACCACCACCCACCTTTCGCTGCGCTATATCTTGTTTCACACAAGTTATCAAACCAAACTGGTTTGCGCCGTCTGTCATCTCAGCTGCTCAGGTGGCGTCAGGTTGAGCACCATGTCAGGCCCCTTCTCCCCGGTGGCCAAGTACTCGTCCGGCACAGGCAGGCCCAGTTCTTCAAGGACGAGCCGGATGACGCCGCGCGTGACGCTCCCCAGCGACAGCTTGTTCACCATAACCGCGATGGCAAAGTTGTTCTCCACGTCGCAGAACCCGGTCGACCCGCCCATCCCGGAGTGACCGAAGTACCTCATCTTGCCGCTGCTGGCATTGTTGTACCTCCTGAACCCGAGCCCGAACTTGCCGTCCTGTTGCGCCATGCCCTCGTACTCGCCGACGCCCATGAACGCGTCGAGGATCTTGTCGCTGCTGAACATCCTGCTGCTGCCGCCACTTCCCAACACCACCGCCGCAGCTTCACTGTCGGCGTCGCTGGTGCGCAGCTGGCTGTACCCGTTCTTGTCAGTGCTGCTGACATGCTGGAGGTTTCCCGTGGAGCCACTGCCGCCCTTCTTTCCAGTGCCCTTCTTCTTCTTGAGTGGCACGGTCGGGAACTTGGGGGTGTGCACATGGCTGCCAAGGGGCGGCTTGGAGCCGGAAGAGTGCGGCGGAGGAACAGAACCACCTGTCGCTAGCGCCGCGTAGTATCGAGCTAGCGCACGAGCGGAGCAGTGGCCATTGGCAGCAGGGATGATGGCCCGCCGGACATTTAGCGTGTTGAAAAGAGCTGGTAGGCCAGACACCATCTGCGCGATGTTGTTCAGCAAAGCTGGTGGCACATCTGCCCCTGCCCTGATTCCTGATAGCTTCTGGAGCTCCTCGGTGTCAACTGTCAGCGCTGCCAGCCGAGATTCAACACCTGAGAATGCCATGGATGTCAGACAAAAGGGTATTAGAACAAGATAGTATGCATATCGGTAAGAGTAGATATTCCATCGAGGAGCTTGAAACTTCAAGATAAAGATTTACTACCTTTTATATGAACTGACCAAATAAGCACTAAACATTGTGAAATCATACAGAAAGGGTGACTACCTGAAATTTACTATTGCAACATGAAATGCTAAAACTGTGGCGCTGAAGCCTTAAACTTCATTAGTAAAAAAATTTAAATCATTAAACCGATGCAGTACTCTACAGATGCATATGTAGTCTCTCCCACACTCACAGTTTGGCTGACAAATATCTGCCCTCCATTGAACACCCCCCATTCCCTCCTAGGTAGGAAAATCTAATATTCGAGATATCAAATTATTTTTCTTGCTCCTGAGGACAACCAGAAATAAATCTCGAGAGCAAATTGGATTTCTTATCATAAAATAAGCTACAGATTAAGTGCACAGTGTTAAAAAAGGATCTAATATTTGTAATCAGTCTAAGCCCTGATTCATAAGAGATCTGCAACATACCTGGTGGAATGCCAACATATAGCTCCCCCCTCAATGTGAAGAGGACGAACAATAGCCTCTTCTAGAACCTCTTGAAACTTCTTCCCAGATGCATGCTATTATTGTCAAATACCAGAGTTAGATTCATGAAATTCAGTTACAACATTACATTGACTTACAGACCCCCATAATTAAGCTATGGGACCCAAACAAGATAACTTGATGGGGGTTTACATCTAAATTTAGCTAAGCATTAACCTTAAAATTAGTATGACCCACACAACAGTCTATTAACATAATTAACAAAGGTCAACTCTCTCATTACAAACAAGGCTCAATTTATGTGATGGCAGGAAGAAACATACCTCTATGACTCCCCCACACAGCCAACCAAAGGAGAGGTAATGGTAAATTTGTGTGGAACCAGGTTCGATCTCAGGTGTACACTTCGTAATCTGGTTTAGTGTCTCCTCCCAGTCACATACCAACAAAGGATCATTCTTCACCACATCACCCAGTGCATTGTGCAAACCGGATGTGTGATTTAGAAGATGATGGACCTTTATTAGGATTTAGGAAGTAGCCAATGAGATAGTCTATTAGCCAAGAAATGTCATGTCTCATCAAATAACAGACGCGGCGAAGTTTTATATGTTACCTTTATTAACTCCTTTCCATTAGTTCCAAAATTTGGCCATATGTTGGCAACTGTTTCCTCATACTTCAGCTTCCTGAAAGATTGGATTATGATTTCACACAATAGCTGGTGCAGCTTCAACTTGTCGAATAAATGTCAAAATGCACAGTTGAAGTTCTTAACATCTATTTTGACAATTCTACATTACACTCACAAAAACAGACAGGTTAGAAATGGTTGTTGGACCATTTTTCTTAAAATAGTCCCAGGTGGACCATTAAGTAAGCAATTTTCCATGTAATAAGCATATAAAGAACGAATATCCTTGTTTTGTAGGCAAACCAGTTGGGATATTATAAAGGAGTGGAATGCCACAATGTTACAGAAAGATTCCATGAAGATGCTATAAGTAAAGATGAGAAACAATTTATACGCACACCAAATTCTGTAATATAGTGTAAACTAATATCATGCAGACAGATTTAAACTGGCAAGGTTAAAAGAAACTAGGCACTGGATTAATACTCACCCTTTGTCCACAAGCCAATGTACCATCCCAGCAGTGATACCCTTAGTCACTGAGAAAACAGGAAAGAGAGAATCAGGTTGAACAGGTCGGGGATCATACTTCCCCAACATACCAGCAGCAGTATCTATTATGACCTTTCCATCTTTATATGCGCAGACCTAGGGAAGACACAAATGTAAGTGCTCCGCACATAGATCCTAAATTTTGTACAGAATTTCTGCAAGCGTAGTTGAATAATAGATTCATAGGAGAGTCCTACTTGTATTCCTAAAATTTTGTCTCTTCCCAACTCAAGCAGATAATTTCTCAGTTTAGACTCCACATCAGAGTTAGCAGGTGAGTCAAAAATCCACTGACTGTTAGGCATTTGTCCGTGTGTCAAACTCCTGACCAAAGTGAAGACATAAAAATCAGCAATGAAAAAAATGAGCGAGGTGACGTTTTTACTATAAAGATGGCGCAACCATTGGCATGACAATGTCAAGTAAATAGCATCTCACCCTAACAAAGTTGATTCAGCAAATGGCCTCATGATGTCCAGATAAACTATCCTAACATTTAGTGAAGCTGAAAGACCTGCAGGTTTTTTTTTGAAAAAATAAATGTCATTAAGATACTGGATACCTTAGAGGAATGAGTAAGCCCAAACCAAACACATACTGTACCTCTGAGGAGATTCAAGACCCTCATAAATATTATGGCATCCCCAGGGAAAGCATCAACCTAAAGGCATGAAAATGTCCATGTGACACCCCATTTATTGGCTGTGGAAACTGGAAAGTAGCAAGCCGAGCATTCCAACTCACAGGATTAAAGCGTTGAACCTCCTTGTTGTTCAATTTCATCTTTTCTTGAAGAGCTTTTTTATTTCTCTCGCTTTGGTCATTTAGTGCCTTTATGTTCTCCTAATCAGTATGAATAACCACAAATAAACTGTTACTCCAAATATCCAAAATTACTAAAATGGAGACAAGATGACGAACGATGGATCTAGTAGACTTCAGCCTACCTTTGCTTCACTTGCTGTGGTTGACTGGCGAAAGAATATTGTGGTAATATCCATAGCCTGCTGAGGCATGTCAACCCGCAGTTTAAGCCCCATCTCTGAAAATGCTGACAGCAGTGCCACATGATCCCCCTACAGATCAACATGTTACATCAATTAACTAAAGTATGATAAGCTGGAAACTACATGGCAAGCTATTTTGTAAACTTGGGTATGAAATGTCAAAATTTCCAAAAACAAGTCAAGTGACTCCAGGTCCAGGGAGAGACATCCCTTTGAATTCGTCTAATCGTCTTATGAGAGGGGAGTATCGAACTCTTCAGGGAGGTATATGACCTTTGAGCACTTAGGTTTAAGCCTGGGTGTCCTCCCTCTCAGCTGGAGGCTCTACCAGGCGAGCTATTGCTCAGTTCTCAACTTATAAACACAGCTTAGGGATATAGCTTGAGGACATATCTCCCAAGGCTGCTTGATTTCACTTATTGGGGATATGGGCATCTTAATTACCAGTCTTATCACATCATGAACGAGTAATACCAAAAGACAGATAATGTTGTTCAAAGAAAAGACAAGAAAGTAAACAATGCATGCTTGCATGGGTTCTGAATCTACAGTAAGAAAAGAAGGGAATAGTTTTATATTATACTAGCAAGGTACTATCTACAGTAAGGAAAGAAGGGAATGTGCATTATTTAGAAGATCAAGGTTCACAAACCTCTGCGCATGACAAAAACATTTTTGCTAGTGCCTGCGTCATAGATTTAGATATGCGCTTAGTGAGCCCAAAGTCAAGGAGAATCGGTTTATGCGGAGGTTCCTTGCTCACAAGAAAATTGCCTACAGAAGAGAAAAATGCATGCGACTATGAATTAATGTGCAATCAATGCAGAGCGGAAAGGTGAAAGAAACCTTCCCAAAATGAATATAATCTAAATACCAGGGTGAGGGTCGCCATTAAAGAAGCCATCAATGTATATTTGATGAGCGTATGCACGGGTTATCTCTTCGACCAGTTTTTGCTTGTCAACACCAAATGCCTCCAATGAATCATTATCATTTAAGCGAATCCCATCCATATATTCCAAAATTAGAACCTTGTCAGTTGACTGACACACAAAAGAACAGTCTGTCAGATGACGGTAGCTTGATTTTCGGAAATTAATATGACAAACAGTATAGAAACTGACAGATAGACCTGAATAACTTCTGGAATGAGTACATCAACAGCATTGGAAACACTGCCACTCCCACAGTCAGTTTTGCGACTAAGATTCCTGGAGACGGCCCTAGTATTCTCTAAAATTGAAGAATTTATACCATACATTATCAAGACAATCTCTTCATGAGCCACTAGGCTTTGACTCTAATTTTAAAGAGAGGGGCAGAACATGGAAAATCGCGCATGAGAAAGCATATGGCAATATTAGCAATAACCTGAGCAAGGAAAATACCTGCTTCATGGTTGAAATCAAGTTCCTTTGGAGCCTCCTTGCACCATTCATCAATCATTGGATTAAAATCATACTGAGGCTCTGCCCACGCTATCCATTCAACCAATGATTTTGCATTCTTCAGATCCTGACCACCAATACAAAAATGTAATAGACTCCAACTGTGCTAGACAGCATACTTGCAGGTTAGAGATAAACCTCTAATATGATCTCCTTGACACCATCATGCTGAATTTTGACAACTACTTCTCTGCCATCTGCTAGAGTTGCACGATGAACTTGCGCTATCTGTTACCAAATGTTCATTGGGAGGCTCAAATGAAATGAGCACACTATGATTTATATCAGATAACTAAAGTTAAAAAGGGCAGACCAGTGCGGAGGCTCCCCACAGTGAGGGGGTCTGGGAAGGAAAAACCGAGGCAAGCCTTCCCCATAAAATCTCTGGAGAGGCTGCTTGAACCCGTGACCTGGTGACTCAGTGAGATAACTAAAGTTCACTTTGATAATACAGTACTTACTGATGCGGTTGCGAGAGGGTCCACGGCAAAATCAGCAAATAGATCACTCATGGGTTCTCCAAGTTCTTTCTCTATTGTTCCACGAACCTGCACAGCAGAGACAAGAACTAGGATAAGTAATTGCTTAAGTAACCTGCACGTCAATACTATATCAGGACCAGACAAGAATTATCAATCTTTGATTCTTCCATTCATTCAAGGACAAGCATGCGTACCTCTTCAAAAGGGCGTGGAGGAAGTGAATCCTGCAACTGCTTGAGGACATTTATGTAAGGTTCAGGAAGTACATCTGCTCTTGTGGATAAATATTGGCCCATTTTCACCCATAAACCTTCTAACTCTATCATCAGGTTGAGGACACGGCGAGCATTTCGCTCATGTGTTTTCTTCCATATAGCACTCTTTTTACCAGTGCTAACCCATTGAACTCTCTTCTGAACAGCCTGCTTGTGCATCAAGAAGATGTTAATCTGTTTCGAGAGAATGGAAGGGGCTGTCTTTGGACAAACATCATTGAGAACAGGAATAGAATCACACCTTATAGTCGAAGTAGATAAACAGTGCCATAGAGAAAACCTTGAGGCGCCTGGTAATGGTGTTTCCCCATCCCATTGTAGGTTGGCAAGTCAGGACAAGCAGTGGCAAAAATTCTGGCACACTCTAGGCTCCTAGTAGACCAGTTAGTTTTCTGCAGTGTCACAAGTTCAATAAAGAAGATCCAAATTAGTAATATTTATCAGAACTACTGATTCATTCTCAGGACAGTTAAGACAAGGATTTGACACGAAAATCAAATATATATGAAAGGTTCCATTTCTGTTAAATCAACTAAGGATGGAGTAAATAAACAAACAGCAATAGCAAGGATTCCCCCATAGTTAGTTCCAATCGCTGTCAGTGTCAGGGCAATTATTCAGAAATAATGACTTGACATGATAATCAGATTAACTTGACAACTACCATTTATGTGAGATAAACCAAGGATGGAGTACAGAAGAAAACTACAAAACCATAACTGAAGAGGATTCAAGCATCCACGCCGCACATTAAGTGACATGCCAATGACATGAGCAAGTAGTTTCCAAGACAATACGCACCCAGAAATGCAACAGATGCAGCAGAAAAATGTGAGCATTACGCATGGACACATCACAGCTTGAAAACTTCAACCTTGTCCTCACTCCCCGCAGGGTTTCCCACGTGTTGCAGCTTTTCTCCTTCGCAAGTAGAAGTAGGCCAAGACTTTTCCCTCATATAATTCAGGAAACCATCACAACAGCTCGCAAAATCCCTGGCCTGTCAAATTTGACGTGCGGGGACCGCTGAAGGGCGCTCAAGGACAGGACAAAAGAAAGACCACGGGAATGGCGTCTGAATCATGAAGCACACTGCTTCCACAACCAACACCACAAGAGAAGTAGCGCCCCCAAATTCCAAGCCGCTGAATAACACATGAACAACATGATTCGAGCAATCCTACTTGTTGAGCTGAGCAAGACTACAGGCCCCGGAATCTTTCGCATGATTCCAACATCATGGGGAAGCTATTTTACCTGCTTTACTTGATCATCGAAGGCTCCATGCACGCACAACCAATCTCCACAAGGCACTAGCGCTTTACTTGATCATCAGAGGCTCTAGTGCGCGAGAAACAAAAGGAGATTTGTATATAATACCATCCGTCAGCATAAAGACGCATTTTTTAAAGTCTGATCGCACGAGTCATTATCCTCACCAACCACAACCCCAACCCCTCCGGCAGGCACCCGTAATCCCAACGCAAAATTGAGGCAAGAACCAGATGTAACGCCCCCTCAACCAAAGGAGGGGGGATTACACCGGAACCGACTGCGAAACCGCACAGAGCGGCAAAACCCACTCAGGCAATCGCAAGCGCAACACACGGCGGGGATTTCCGAGAACACCCCGACCCCCCAAGAAACCGCCGAGAACTGGGGGGGGGGAGAAACTATTACCTCAAATCGCTGAGCTCCGCGAGGCGAGGAGGGAATTTGGCGGTTTCGGACGGGCGCTCTGGGCCGCGCGAGTCGAAACTGAACCGGACGGACGGATTCGCGAAAGAGGGAAAAAGAAAAAAAAAAAAGAAAGGAAAAAGGGAAGGATCAGTTCTGTTCTGAGGTGGTGGGAGAGAGGACAGAAATTTCTGGTCCTGACTCCTGAGGAGGACGGAGGAGCTTTGCGGAAGCAGAGAGTGTGTCTGTGTGCGAGGACGGACGAGAGCTATACGTACGAAGTATTTTATTCCGGAGTCCGTGACGAGGCTGCTTTGCATCCAGGCCCCGACGGTTCGCCTTCGCCCCCTACTAGTCGTCCCCTGCAGCATCTGCATGCGGTTTCTTCTTCCTCACTCACCTTCCTCTCGTGCGGACGTGCGGTGCAGGAGCAGGACAGCGACAATGACATCGAGCCTCACAGCGTACTTTTCATTGAGAACGCGTTGGTCAGTCAACGGGGAAAACATTTCGCCGTGTGGTTTTAGACCTTTTTGTGCTGGATGAGATGGATGCTGACGATTCCAAGTTCTAGACGATTTCAGTGCAGTGTGGTGTGTGTATCATAGACGCCGCCGCCGCTTTGGTTTTAACGAAACGGAGAAAGAAGAATGACATGCGTTCTAACCTAGGGCTGTTCACATAATTCGACTTATTTCAGTATGTGATACCTAGCAGAACTGTCTGTATATTGTAATGGTATTTTCTTTGTAGGTTCGGTTTGGTAGGACTCCCAAACCACTTTGACTGTTTTTTGTGCATCCGATCATTCAGCGCTGACAACGGCCACGACCACTCATCAGCCCACCGTGCCATTCCAACTCTAAATTTGATTTTTCTCGTAGTTCATTCACCATCACTAAAATCATCCAATGTTTTCTTTATACCTTTAGTTATGTTTATGGTCAACAACTATGATTCGTGGCTGAAGATTCCATCTTTAGTACAATTGAACATTGTCTATAAGTTGTAGTTATGGTTGTCCTTATTCCGTCGTATTAGAATCTCCTATTTTTATATGTCCTGTTTGCTTGGCTGATAAGCCATGGCTGAAAGTATCGTTAGCTAATTTATTGTGAGAGAAAAATAATGTTTATTGGCTGAAAAAGTACGCCTTATAAGCCAAGCGAACAGGGCGATATACGATAGCTCTGTCACATAAATTTGCAGTATAAAATTCGTCATAGATGGATTTTTCTTATTCTAGATCCACCATTAACTCCCTTAGCTTAGAGCATCTCCAACCAACCCTCTATGTCATTCCTAAATGCTACGAATAGAGATTTGATCCAACAACTTCTCTAATTGGTTATTCTATTCCGTATTTTCGCTAGCCAAAAATAGAAGACAACAATGGCTCGCACTAGATATAGAAAAACTGTTGGAGAGTGAAAAGATATAGAAAACAATTTTTATATAAATAACTCTCCAAATAATAATTTAGAGAGACTCTTAAATATGCTCTTATACTGTTATACACCACGAATAAACTAGGAAGTAACCAAACATAACGCTAACCTACGAGTTGACACGGTAAGTAATCGCTCCATTATAAATTATAATACTATTTAATTTTCTGGATACATTGCTTTTATAACCATCTTATGATTTAGAACACAGAGAATAATTCTAAGTAACATATAGAACATGCACGATGTATTTTCTATCTGTGTCGTGAATCCCAAGTCTTCTAGCACCTGACCTTCTTGGACCATGCGTGCAGTCCATATCTGTGTGCTTCGGGAAAAAAAATTTGTGCGTGATTCTTTTTAGAAAAAAAATCATATCTTTAAGATGCTTTGTAAATATTAATTTAAGGGGTATATTAATCGTGTACCAAAGCTTATGTTTTTTTAATAAAATTATATCTTCCGATACTTTTTATACTAGCTCTCGATAAGATCTACATCTTTCATTTAAAAAGGTACTTTTATGGGACCTCAAATATGAAATATATGACTTTTCTAGGAAGACAAGCTCTGGTATGCTAGTAATATGTTCCTCAAAATCATTTTCTTGAGCATCTTAACAATCTTAAACGAAAGACTTCAAAACTAAAAAACTTGTACATCTCATCGATAGCTATAACTTTAATATAAAAAGTATCTTCAATTGACACCATACAAGAATAATATAATTTTCGTGACATGACAAGCCTTGGTGCACGATTAATACGTGCTGAAACTTTATATTATTTTTCGAACATCTTAACGATCTAAAATATAAAAACTCAAAACTATAAAGTATATCTCACTAAGAATTATAGCTTTTATATATATAAAAGTATCTTCATTTGACACCATACAAAAAGAGGTATTATTTTTTAATGCGACAAGCGCTAGTACGTGATTATTATGCTGCTGAATCTTATATTATTTTTTAGCATCTTAACGTACTCAAATGAAAAAACTTAAACTAGAAGTTGTAAATCTCATCGAGACCTATAATTTTCATACAAAAATCATCTTCATCCAACTCGTATCGACGAGTTATGATTTTTCTAAGTTTAAGTCTTGTCACGCCACTCCCGGTGGGACAAAAAAAAATTGTCACGCCAACCAGAGTGGTGTGACAAGGTTTGTCACGTGAAAAACACCATCCAACGTGATAGATCTTGCCGCACCAGCACATGTAGCGTGGCGGCGTGATTTTGTCGCGCTAACCGCACTGCTGAAAAAAAAAATTAACGATGGTTATTATTAAAATATTAAATAAAAAGGTATTAAAAATAAAAAAATCCACAAGGGCATAAGGTCTTTAGGAATGACAAAGGAGTTGGCCCGGCAGTAAAAGGCTGTTGACGTGCCATGCTAGACCGGACACGATGCCAAACGTTGCTGGATGCCGGTCGCGCGGTGCTCCGCCCGCTACACGACCTTTCTTCTCCTGTGTGTCGCCGTGTCGGCGTGGACATCTCGTGCGAGGAGAGGCCCCATCCCACGGCGATCTCCCTTCGCACGCACGTATACTCAGGCAGGGGCACCGCCGTCCAGGAACCCACCCGCAGTCCGCACATCGCCCATTCCAGCGACTTTCTGGCGGGCGCCAGGTGACGCGCCTCTCAACCGAAGGCGAAGACGGCGAGGTGCCGCACCGCACGCCATGGCACAGTTCCAATTCCAGAGCTCTCTCTCCCTCCACGGCTCCACCCCACGCGGTTGCTTCAAGCATTGACTGACGGACCCGTGAGCCTGTTCTTGACCCCTCCTCTTCCTCCGCCTGTCTCTGCCGCGAAAGCTTGTGGATTGAGTGCGCGGCTGCGGTAGCCGAAATCCTGGTGCGTCCGTGCGTGGGGGATCGATCCTTGTCTCCGGACTCAGGCTATCGAGGCGCCGCGCGCCTTTCTGAACTTTCTGGTGAGGTTGGGCTGTTCGCGTCGCTCGCTTATGCAGAGTTTGCTCTGTTTCGTTTTCAGCGTGTGTTATGCTTCGGTTCCCTTGCTGCATCTCGCGGCATTTCTGACTTCTGAGGCCATGGTTCAACAACATACTGATTTTGTACCATTTGTCTGTAGCACGAGTAGCAATTGAGTAGTACTAGTTCTGAAGCCAACCAGTTTTGAACTCACTTGACGTGATTGTATATATGCCATGATATTCT